GTGGCCTAGTGGCTAAGACTCCACACCTGGGTTCAATCCCTGGTCAGGGAACTAGATCCCACATGCCACCATGAAGTTGGTAAACTAAAGATCCTGTGTGTCACAACTAAATCTGTGAAACAGCAAATAACCTGTGTGCATGCTGTCACTCAGCCGTGTCTGACTCTATGGATTGTGGCCTGCCAGGCTCCTTTGTCTGTGAGATTCTCTAGGCAAGAATACTGGAATGGGTTGCCATGCCCTCCTCCAGGGTATCTTCCCCACCCAAGGATCAAACCCACCTCTCTCATGCCTCCTGCATTGGCAGTCAGGTTCTTTACCACTAGCTCAACCTGGGAAGCCCATAGCTTAGTCAAAGACAAAAGTATACATTCCTGTAGAAACAGATGACCCTAAGCCGACACCTAGGATGCCATTGAAAGGGCATTCATTTGCCCATTTCAAAGTCTTTAAAATTTCCTGCAGTATATATGTGTTTTTGTGTATGTGGGAAAATTCTTTGTAGTAAATATCTTGGGATAGATTTGCTAGATTATAGGATATGTATCATCAGATTGCTTCCTAAAGTGTGTATCTTACTAGTTTACACCCCCACCAGTAGTATAAACAGAAATTCAGATGTCCAGGAAACAAATGAAAAGATGTTTGACTTCTCTAGTAAACAGGGCAGTGCAAATTAAAACAACTTCGGGAGCATATCAGACTTAGAAAATTTGCAAAAATTCAGAGTCTGCCATTATCAAGTGTTGGTCATATATTAAATTCCTGAGTTAGGAATATCTAGTTGAAGAATTCTAAAGCAGGCAGCCAGGAAGGAGAAAAAAAAAAGAAAGAAACAACAGGCGCTAAACACAGAGCCCCAAGGCTAATTTGCTCTTGAAGAAATAATATCAGGCCCTTGTTTAAAATTCATGGAAAGAAAAGTGTGTACATGTTGGAATGGAAAAGGGATGCTTAGAGAATAAATTTTAAAGCCTACTCTTTTTAAAAAGTGTTTAAAATTTTTTCCAGCTTTATTGAGATATTATTGAGATTTAGCATATTTAAGTTTAAGGGATACAGCATGATGATTTGATGCATGTATATGAAGTGAAGTGAAGTGAAAGTCACTTAGTCATGTCCAACTCTTTGCGACCCCATGGACTATACAGCAAATGGAATTCTCCAGGCCAGAATACTGGAGTGGGTAGCTTTTCCCTTCTCCAGGGGATCTTCCCAACCCAGGGGTCGAACCCAGGGCTTTCACATTGCAGGCGGATTCTTTACCAACACCAGGGAATGTGAAATAATTACAATAAGTGTATGTGTGTGTGTGTGCATGTGTGTGTGTGGTGATAACTTTTAGGATCTAGTCTTTTAATAGCTTTTAACTATATAATAAAGTATTGTTAATTATAATCACCATACTGTACATGAGGTCCCCAGAATTTATTCATTATATAGCTAGAAAATTGTAACCTTTGAAAACCTTCACCCATCTCCCCCAACGCCCTGGAAACCACCATTTCACTATTTGTGTGTGTATGTGAACACTTAGTCTCTCAGTGGTGTTTGACTCTTTGTGACCCGATGGATTGTAACATACCAGGCTCCTCTGTCCGTGGAATTTTTCAGACAAGAATACTGGAGTGGGTTGCCATTTTCTACTCTAGGAGATCTTCCCGACCCTGAGCGTGAACCCACATCTCTTGTGTCTATCTGCATTGGCAGGCAGGGTCTTTACCAACTGCGCCAGCCACGTATGAGTGAGAACACAAAGGATTTGTCTGTCTCTGTCTCGCGCATCTCACTCAGCGTAATGCCCTCACGGACTGTTCACACTGCCTCAGAAGGCAGGGTTTCCTTTTCTGTGGCTGAACAACATTGTAAAATGTAAAAACCAATATCAAATTCCCAAACAAACGCTTCAAAGAAAGATTTTGATGGAAGCAGAAATGTCACTGGCAACTTAGACAAACCAAGGGGCTTCCCTGATAGCTCAGTTGGAAAGAATCCACCTGCAACACAGGAGACCCTGGTTTGATTGCTGGGTCGGGAAGATCCGCTGGAGAAGGGATAGGCTACCCATTCCAGTATTCTTGGGCTTCCCTTGTGTCTCAACTGGTAAAGAATCTGCTTGCAATGCGGGAGACCTGGGTTCAGTCCCTGGGTTGGGAAGATCCCCTGGAGAAGGGAAAGGCTACCCACTCCAGTACTCTGGCCTGGAGAATTCCATGGACTGTATAATCCATGGGGTCGCAAAGAGTCAGACATGACTGAGCGACTTTCACCTTCACTTTAAACAAACCAAAAGAATCGAAATAATCACCACTGACAGGACGGAGAAATGTTACACTATATTAATCTGCAAACACAGCTTCAAATACTGTGAAATGTACACAAAATTTAAACATATTTGGGGGGTGGGAAGAATTTGGAGATTGGGATTGACATATCACTACTCTGTATGAAGCAGCTGACTCGTGAGGACCTGCTGTGTAGCCCAGGAAGGGAAGGGAATCTTAAACAGAGTGGGTATCTGTATACATGTGTATGTATAACTGATCTCAGTTTGCTCCACAGCAGAAATTAACACAACACTGTAAAGCAACTATACTCCAATAGAAATTTTAAAAAAGAAAGCAGGGACTCAAACAGGTATGTGTATCAGTGTCCATAGCAGCATCATTTACAATAACTAAAAAGTAGAAACAACTCAAACGGATGATGAATGAACAGATAAACAAAATGTAATATACTCATGCATGTGTGTGTACTCAGTCACTTCAGTCATGTCCCACTCTTTGCCACCCTATGGACTGTAGTCCACAAATCTCCTCTGTCCATGGGATTCTCCAGGCAAGAATACTGGAGTGGGTTGCCATGCCCCCTCGAGGGGATCTTTCCAACCCAGGAATTGAACCTGCGTCTCCTGTGCCTCCTGCCTTGCAGATGGATTTTTTTACCCACTGAGCCACCTGGGAAGTCAAGTATATTCATACAAGGGGATTAGTATTCAGTCTTTAAAAGGGAGGAAATTTTGACACATGGGACAACATGAATGAACCTTGAGAACAGTATGCCAAGTGGAATACTGTTGTTTAGTTGGTAAGTCGTGTCCGACTCTTTGCGACCCCATAGATTGTAGCTCCCTAGGCTCCTCTATGGGATTTTCCAGGCAAGAATACTGAAGTGGATTGCTATTTCCTTCTTCAGGAAATCTTCCCAACCCAGGGATCGAACGCATGTCTCCTGCTTGGCAGGCAGATTCTTTACCACTGAGCCACCTGGAAAGCCTCTAAGTGAAATAAGCCAGACACAAAAGGACAAATACTGTATGATTCTACTTAAGTGAAGTACCTAGAATAGTCAAGCTCATAGAGACAGAAAGTAGAATGGTGGTTACCAGGGGCGGAATGAGCAGGAATGGGGAGGGGTATTGAAGGGGTACCGAGCTTTAGTTTTGCCAGATGAAGAGTTCTGTGGATGGATGGTGGTGACGGTTGTGTGAATGGACTTGATGCTATTGAACTGTAGACTTAAAAATAGTTAAAATGTAAGTTTCATGTTATGCATGTTTTACTACAATAAAAAAAGAATGTTAAAAAATAAGCATGTTTGGGTCCCCAAAGAAACCTGAATAAATTCTCAGAAGTACAAATAGTACAAATTCTTTTATCACTTTTGTTATGAGAAATGACTAGCAAAAAGGAAAGAAACAACAAAAAATTTTAACCTCAGAAATTTCAAGTCTTCTTAAACATCGATTCCATGAGAGAAGAAATTAAAAATGAAATTTAGGAATAAGTATATCAAAAAGAACAATAACGAAAATCTCATGAGATGAAGTCTGGGAAAAGCTAAGGTCATGTTCAGAGGGAAATTCATAGCATGTAAAGTATTTCTAAACATTGAGAATGAAAATAATGAATTGACAATGTTACTCAGAATTGAGGGGGAAGCCAACCAATCTGCAAAAGTAGAAGAAGAGATTAATAAATGTAGAAGAATTAGATAAAGATACTATAAAGAGGCAAATAAAGATAAAATAAAGAATTAGAAAGCAGAGAAAGAGTAGACCTGATAGACACATTTGAGATTTGATTCTTTTAAGGAGGAAAAAAGAAATCCCACAAAATAAAATAGAAAAATGATGAACTTATCTAATAAAAAGGAAAAGGAAAACACAGATACTAGATATTAGAAATTATAATTTGACCCCAAATTTAAAGGATATAAAAATAATTATAAGGATATGCAAATTGGTATGCTTCCCTGAACAGTGTGTATGTATCTATATACATGTACAATTTTTAGGTGAAAAATACACATTGTTCTAAATATGATTAGTACGAGAAGTGCCTGTATATAAAACTCAGTAGTTTTCTTTATATTCCAAAAATAACCAGTTAGAAAATATCCTGGGGAATAGATAGTGAGAAAACTACTGACCTATGGTGGTGAGGGGAAAGTGCAAACTTTCTTTAGTGGTTTATTTATTCTTTGTATTTAACAAACCCTTATACAATATAGGGCTTACCGTGTGCCAGGCATATTTAATCCTTAACAGCCCTAGAAGGTAGGTTTAATCATTATCCACAATTTTCAGATGAGGAGACTGAGGCACAGAGAGGTTAAGTAACTTAAGTCACCCAGTGTACAAGCGGAACCAGATTTCAAAGTGCAGGCGGCTCCCAGCATCTGTTTTCTTTGCTGTTACGCTGCACAGGGAATAAATGCAAAGACATACCGTGTTTCAGGGGGGAAGACCCAATATCATCAAATGACTTATTCACAACTGACCCGGGCCTTCTCACAAGGGCTGAGATGCTGACGGTCTGTCCAGGGTGACTGTCAGCAAAACGGCGCCCCCTGGGGGTACACCGAATCGTGCAGGGGTCCCTGAGGCAGTCACAGCTCAGAGCGGACAGCTGAGCCACAGCTCAGACTCAGAGCTCTGAGTCTGACAACACAGATGTGCTGGCCTTTCTAACTCAGCACGCGATCTCCTTCTCTCTTAGATCCAGGAGATGGTCCACTCGGAGGTTGCTGCCTATGACTCAGGCCGACCAGGGCCCCTGCTGGGCCGCCCAGCGATGCTGGCCAGCCACATGAGTGCCCTCAGCCAGTCCCAGCTCATTTCTCAGATGGGCATCCGGAGCGGCATCGCCCACAGCTCTCCGTCACCCCCAGGGAGCAAGTCAGCGACCCCCTCTCCCTCCAGTTCAACTCAGGAGGAGGAGTCAGAGGCGCATTTCAAGGTACGTGGGGATGGAGATGCAAAGGCTTCAGATGCCTTAGAATGCCTTCCCATCAGCAGTGGACAGGCCCTGTGAGGAAATGGGCATCACCTACCTCTAGAAAAGACTACAAGAGTGTAACTGTCCCCTTTGTTGGAAAACAAGGAAAATTCTGGAAAAACGTGATGATGTCTTATTCCTCAATGGCCAGTGGGTCATTTCGGTGGCATTGATGGCATTGGCAAGATCCTCGGGGTCACATCTCGTGGCCATTCTGACCTTTCAGGAGGACCACAGAGATGTGTGATCCAGAAGAGGGCACCTCTGGGCGTCACTGTGGGAGGGAGCACTAAAAACAACCCCCCGATGGGGACATGACCCCCGCATATCCCTGGAACCAGGGGTTGTCCTGCGTCTTCAAGAACATGCCAGGGAATGAGAGCTCACTGCCTGTCCAGCTCCTGTCCTTTCTTTGCACCGACCCCAAGCCTCCCTCCCAGTCAAAGAGCTTCTTGTTTTACTGGAGCAGAAAACAGAGACCTGGAAAGGCCAAAGATGCTTGTGCTTGCCCGGAATCTCCCAGTGAGCCCCTGGTAAAATCAAGACTTGCTCCCACAATGCCTGCCTGCCTGCCTTTCCTTTTCATAAGGGCCTCTCACCTCTTTCCACGTGGTGTCCCTGAAGAGGCCTGGGGCAGTAATCGTGGCATCCATCAGAGACCCTGACCCTGACCTCCTGGCTGGGGTGGGCACCTCTGGATCCTGGTCCAGCTTCATCATCAGGGTAACTTGGTCACGACTGTCGTCCAGGAAGGAGTTGCTTTTAATTTTATTTAATTTCATTTAACAAACCCTTCTAAAACACTTTCATGGGACAGATACTATTCTAAGGACATGACAGGTATTAATCCATATAATCTTTATCACAACCCTATGTGATAGGTGCCTTTATTATCTCTGATTGGCACATGGGGAAACTAAGTCACAGAGGGGTTAAGTGACTTATCAGGTGTCACAGAACCAGGATTTAAACCAAGGTGGCTGTAGTCTGGCTCCAGCATACGTACTCTAAACCACCCTCAACGCCTCATCTGCTTGGCAGACAGAACTGAGGCTTGGAGAGGTGGGTGACTGCAGAGAAACAGTCCCAAGAACAGGACTGATGTGGCCACAGACTGCCCCTCACTGTCCCTCAGACCCGCAGACCCGAGTCTGGCCCTTATCAGTTTATATTACCTTCATTTTCTTGGAGCATTAGAGCCACAGTCTTCATAGCAGGATCCACGACCTTTGGTCAAAATCCCTGGTCCTTGGGTGGCCAGGGAGTTCTAGTCAGGGGGGACGTGCCCACCCCCTCCATCCTGGAAGCCAGGTGCCCACAGTACTGAGGTCCTGATTCTGACTGCACCAGAGGCCAGGTATCCAGGGTGAGGTCACCCTGGTGACAGTTACATTAACCTCACTCCCATCCAACAACTTCAAAGAGGGTCAGGGGGACTAAGCCATCTGCCCCAAGTTGCATAGCTGAAATGTGGTAGAAGAGACCAGCCTTATTCAATCAAGGGTAATCTTTGGGGATTATTTGTGATCACAAGGGGGGGGGGTGTTAAGAAAATATATGTATATATCCAAAACTTGGAAATAGTCCCAAAACAGATAACTGCACAGTCTTTCAGTAGCATATCACAGCCTCATCAAATAGGCTCAAGAATTATCTGATGATTCTCTGGGAGATTACACCTTCCTTTTGATTCCTCCCTCATTATTGACGGGAACTTTTACATTCTGTAAAGGAAGATGTTAACTTGGGGCAGGGGGGAAATGATGAAGAGGTAAGCAATTTTTGTCTGATTACAAGACAAATTAATTTTTCCCTGTAGAGAGACAAATGACTTCTGTGCTCAGAAAAGACTAAAGGCCCTGAGGTGATAGTTTTATTGCTCTATAGGGCAGTAATTTGTTTCTTTCTCTTGTGTTTTTTTGAGTGAACTTTACCATCATTCTGAATGAAAAACCCAGGGCTCGTATCCAGGGCATGTGTGTGCACTCGCTTGTGTGTGATTTGTGTGTGTGTGTATTCAAGCCCAGGGGGTGGCCAGGGCATTGCTGATGTGTGAGCAGGGCTGGGAAAGCTGGGAAAAGCTAAGGAAGGTCCAGCTCGGCCTAAGCTGGGTCGGTTAGCTGGAGGTCCTGGGCTTCTCTGGTTTTCTAACTCCCCTCACCCGGGCAGATGTCGGGAGAAAAGAGACCTTCAACCGATCCTGGCAAAAAGGCCAAGAACCCAAAGAAGAAGAAGAAGAAGGACCCCAATGAGCCGCAGAAACCCGTGTCAGCCTACGCACTCTTCTTCAGAGACACTCAGGCCGCCATCAAGGGACAGAACCCCAGCGCGACCTTCGGGGATGTGTCCAAAATCGTGGCCTCCATGTGGGACAGCTTGGGAGAGGAGCAGAAGCAGGTGAGCCCCCTCCCTCTCCGGGCCATCCCCCAAGGCGCTGTAGTCAGACTTAGAAGGTCTGGAACCAGGCCCAGCCTCTGGAACTAGGGGAACTAGCCTCTGCCCAGCCTGTGCTGAGGAGGCTACCGGGCTCAGTTTGCCCATCTGTAAACTGGGGGGGTAGGGCCGGTCCCAGCTGGCTGTTCTGCAGCTGCGTCCACTAGCGACTTGGTTAAGTGGGGGAGGAAACTGGACCTCTGCTGCCCATCTGTAGAGCGGGAACAAGCATCTCCATCCGTCGTGTGCCTCCAACTCTGAAAGTCTGGGGTCCAGGTCGCAGCTTTCCTACCCACTGGCCGTTAAGCCCATGGCTTCCCCTCAAGGGCCTGCAGTGGGGACAGAAGCAGATCCAGCTCAGAGGTCAGCGCCAGTTACCAGCCCTGTGAGCTCAGGCTGACCACCTGACCTCTCCCCGATATCGCCCACATCTTGGATCTTTCAGGCCTACAAGAGGAAGACCGAAGCAGCGAAGAAGGAGTATCTGAAGGCTCTGGCAGCCTACAGGGCCAGCCTTGTTTCCAAGGTAACAGCTGGGATCCCTAAGCCCAGTCCTTGAGGGATAGAGCAAGAACCGAAGTCCATGGGAACAGTCAACACCACAGGTCTTGAAAGGGATAGCTAAGACCAATGTGGCCCCTTCTCCGGGCTTCCCAGGTGGCACTAGTGGTAAAGAACCCACCTGCCAATGCAGGAGACAAAAGAGACCTGGGTTCAGTCCCTGGGTGGGGAAGATCCCCTGGAGGAGGGCACGGCAACCCACTCCAGTATTCTTGCCTGGAGAATCCCATGGACAGAGGAGCCTGGAGGGCTATAGTCCACAGAGTTGCAGAGAGTCGGAAGCAACTGAACAACTTAGCACACGCGCACGGGGTCCCTTCTCCAGGGCACCTCCTGTGTGCCAGCTCATGCTGCGTACTTCACACGCACCTCATTTCACGTGATTCTTCCAACAAGAACCCCGTACACAGAGGAGTTAAGCAACTTGCCTGGAAGTATCCAGTCTGTTAAATGGCTTTACTAGGATTCAAACCCAGTTTTGCCTGTCTTCAAAACTGGCCTTTTCTCCTGTCCTCCGCTCAGCCTTCTCTGTCGACACCAGTATCACAGGAGGCTCAGCATGGTGGTGGTTGCATGGTCCAAGCCGGGGAGGGAGGTGGTCTGGCAGCTGCACAGTGGACATGGTTTCTGAATTGGGCCAGAAAGGGTCAAGCAAAGAGGGTGTCCCAAATCAAGGGAACAGCCCATGCAAAGGCACAGAGGTTGGGAGAAGCCCACGGAGAGGATAACCCAGCTGGGCGATGCTCGTGCCTCGGGCCAGGCTGAAAAGCATGGATTCGCCCATGGGCACGGGAACCTCCAGGGATTAAAATACAGGGTGGTTGGATGGTTAGAACCAAGGGTGGTGAGTCCTGAGTGATCTCTGGTGAGTTCCCTGCTCTCCCCCGAGGGGCCCGAGAGCCAGCCGGTGGGTTACAAAACCACGTGGGTTTTGTGGCCCAAGTTCAGGCTTATCCACGTTGGTTCCAGCTTATCCAGATTGGTGTCTGTTTCCTTCCAGAGCTCGCCTGACCAGGGTGAGACCAAGAGCACTCAGGCGAACCCGCCGGCCAAGATGCTCCCCCCTAAGCAGCCCATGTACGCCATGCCGGGCCTGGCCTCCTTCCTGACCCCGTCCGACCTGCAGGCCTTCCGCAGCGGGGCCTCCCCCGCCAGCCTCGCCCGGACGCTGGGCTCCAAGTCGCTGCTGCCCGGCCTCAGCGCCTCCCCGCCGCCGCCCTCCTTCCCTCTCAGCACACCCCTGCACCAGCAGCTGCCGCTGCCACCCCACGCCCAGGGCGCCCTCCTCAGCCCACCCGTCAGCATGTCCCCAGCCCCCCAGCCTCCCGTCCTGCCCGCGCCCATGGCACTCCAGGTGCAGCTGGCCGTGAGCCCTTCACCTCCAGGGCCACAGGTAAGCAGGACCCAGTGAGAATGCGCCCCCGGGGGACCCCCTTGCGGAAAGGGGAGGCAGCTTGGGATCCCTGCCACTCTCGGCCTGTGAAACCTCAGCCTTGGCACTTCATCCCTCTGAGCCTCAGTGATCACATCTGTGAAATGGGATGAGTACGCCTCACCTGAGATGCACTGGCTGCAGAGAATAGCTGGCAAGGTGCCAGGAAGATTCTTCAGATTCCTAGGGCATCCTGGGCCCTCCTCCCTCAGTTTCTGTCCATTCCTGCTCTCTGGCCGGGGAGGCTGAGGCCAGTGAGCCTTAGCTGCTGGCTCTCCCCAAAGACTTTGAAGCCTGACCCCTGCTAAGTGCTCCATGGACACTGGGGATTACAAAGCCTTCTTGACCCTGGGAGTTCACTCGGCCCAGTAAGTCCATTTTACAGAGTGGGAAACTGAGGTCCAGGGAAGGAAAGTCCTTTACTACCAGCACCCTACCCTTGCAGCTAAGCCTAGGACTGGATTTTCCAGAAGCTGCTCTACCAGGGAAAAGAAAGAAGTGATCCAGGCAGAGGGGCAGAGCAGAAATTTCTTATAAGCCGGGGAGGTGTCTCTGCAAACAGCCCCCTCCCCTCCTTGCTGCCTGAGATGCTCCCCTTTGGCTCTCCTTTGCTCACTGCCTCCTCCTCCCCCTCAGCAGGACTTCCCCCACATCTCTGAGTTCCCCAGCGGTTCCGGATCCCGCTCCCCTGGCCCGTCCAACCCCACGAGCAGCGGAGACTGGGACAGCAGTTACCCCAGCACCGAGTGTGGCGTCAGCACCTGCAGGTGGGCCCCCCCCCCCCCCCGCCCACGGTGGGCGCTGCTGGTGCGAGTAGCATGAGGATGGGGGGATGGTGGAAAGGGCAAGGGGGACGCTGCAGATCACTGTCACCCTGCAGGAGGGCCTCGTGGGCACCGGGTGCCCGGCGTCTTCAGGAGAGGAAGTGCAACAAAGCAAGGACCCATAGGGACTCAGCCGTCTGGGGCCGGGCCTGTGGGGGACACAGGCCCGCCTTCGCTCTTGCTGTTTTTCCTTCCATCCTGTTATTTTTCTTTTCCTTTTTTTTTTAAAGATTTATTTATTTAGTCTTCTCTGGTGGCTCAGCTGGTAAAGAATCTGCCTGCAGTGCAGGAGACCCAGATTCGACCCTGGGTCAGGGAAATCCCCTGAAGAAGGGCATGGCCACCCCGCTCTGGTTATTCCTGCCTGGAGGATTCCACGGGCAGATTTCTTTCTTTTGGCTGCACTGGGTCTTTGTTGTGGCTCACTGCTCTAGAGCTCGGGCTCAGTAGTTGTGGCGCAGGAGCTTAGTTGCCCCATGCCTCGTGGAATCTTCCTGGAGCAGGGATCGAACCGCCAGGCGATTCTTCACCGCTGGACCACCAGGGATGTCTCCACCCTGTTTTCTTTTTTCACAAGTGCTTCTTTGTGACATTCATAGACAAGAGCGACTGTCTTTGGTCAGCTTCCCTAGGAGCAGAGCCTGAAGCAGGAATTTGGGTGCCCTTGATGATGTATATTTGTTCAGGGAGAACCTGTACCAGTAGTGGGGGTAGGGCAGCGGCCGGAGCAGAGAGGAGCCTAGCAAGGGCATGGCCTCAGCCAGAGACTGGCTTTTATTTTTTATTTAATAATTTATTTTAATTGGAGAATAATTACTTCACAATATTGTGATGGTTTTTACCATCAAGATCAATCGGCCACAGATACACATGTGTCCCCCCAATCCTGAACCCCCCCACCTCCCTCCCCCCCGCCCCACATTCCCCTGGTTGTCCCAGAGCGCCCGATTTGGGTGCCCTGCTTCATGCATCCAACTCGCACTGGTCATCTGTTTCCCATATGGTGATATAGATGTTTCAGTGCTGTTCTCTCTGGCTTTGGCCTGATCTCAGGGAGCTCTGGGCTCCAATCACAGCACAGATTTGGTCCCATTTTTTAAAACAAAATAATTTTTTGTTATTTTTTTGGCCGCACCGCGTGGCATGCAGAATTCTATGTTCCCCAACCAGGGATTGAACCAGAGCTCCTGTAGTGGAAGCAGGGAGGTTTGGTCCCAACTTTAAACAGTTCTAGCTTTTTGTATCCTCAGCGCCGAGGACCGGGTGGTCTCCCACCAGGATTCCAGGAAGGCTGTTTTGTTCCGTGCGCGCACACACACACACCTCTCCGCCGCTGCGCTCCGCACCCCCCCCCCGCCCCACACCCACACCCACACACACCCCCTTGCGACGCCCGCGGTGGATAGTCAAGAGGGACCGGCCCAGACCTTCACGCATCCTCCGAGGGGCCGTCGAGTCCGGGGAGGGGATGAAACGCCAGTGAGCAGCTGTCCCCATGCACTCGGGCTCTGTGTCCAGCCCCGTGAGGACCAGGGGACGCCTGGACGGGGATGGGGGTCACAGCTCTGACAGCCCCTCCTTTCTCCCCAGCCTGCTCCCCAGAGATAAATCGCTCTACCTCACCTAAGCCCGTCTCCCTGTCCTCCCTGAGGCTTGCTGGAAGGGCGCTGCTCAGAGCCTGAAGGGCTGACAGCAGAAAAGAGGCCTCGGCAGGAAGCAGGGCGCCGGCGCAGAGCGCAGTGAGACGCCCGGGCCCAGGGCTGAGGCTCTTCCTCACCTCCCGGCAGACTCTGCAGAGGCCGCCCGCCGCCCACCGCCAGCCCAAAGAACCTTCTGGAACCTCCCGCCCCCTGACCGCTTGCTCCAGGGTTCCTGTGGACCCCGCGCCTCGCCTGCCGCCGCCCCCTCCGTCTGGTCGTCTGGCGCCAGAGCCCACGGTCGCCGGAGCTGCCCCTGGACCGGTGGCCCTGCCGCAGGAAGCCACCCCCAGATGCGCCGGGCGGGGTCGGCTCAGCGCCAGACGTGCAAGTCCGGTTTTACAGTGTGAACAAGACATTATGACACTTATAAACTGTTGGCTCCATGTAAGTATTAGTTGACTACGTGTTTTAGAAGCTGTGCTGAAGACACCTGTAAGATTATTTTGTTGGGATGGGTGGGGCGGAAAGTAGATTCCTTAAAGGTAAAAAAAAAAAAGCATTTTATATGACCCTTAGCACATTTTTTTTTTTAAGTTTTATCTTAAGGGAGATGTGCACAAAAGAGGCTGCCAAACCATTTCACCCTCTGTACAGCAGGAACTGGACAATTTATAGCCACACTCAGAGACATTGCGCTTTTTTTTTTTTTTAATCATGCATTCATCTATTTAAAACAGCCAGCAAGGACTTCTGTCTGTTTACCAGGAACAATCGAGAACAAAATTGCAGTTTCTATCATAAAGTGTGTGTGCTTTGGGGGTCTGGTTTGGGTTTGGGTTCTTAATGTTTGCAGCTGTTTTCTGACCCTGCAAATGTCTGTCTTGGTGCCCAGTGCTTCTCTCGAATTTCTTTATAATAAAACTGATGGAAAGTTGGAAACAAGCCTGTCTCTCTTTACGCTTGGTAAGCCACGGGCAGGCCCTCTGCAGTGGTCCTTGGTGGTGGGATTCACCTGGACAGAGCCCCTGGTGTCAGTCAGGTTGAGGGCAGAGTCCCACCTACCCTTTCCCCATCCCCGAGGGTCTCTACGGGCAGCAGTGCCTTGATGGCTTCAGTCTTGCCATCTGTAGAAGTGAGGTGATGATGGTACCAGCAGGTAGGTTCCCATGATGATTCAAGGGGCTCTGGCCTTGTGTGCTGGCCACAAAGGGAGCTCACATCGGCAGGTGACCACAGTGAGCCCCTCCCGACCACTCCCTTGCCCCCGATGGAGCTTCTGTCCTCTGGAAGTTTCTGGTCTGGTGGAGGTGAGAGGTGCGTTCAGGGCAGCAGGAGCCGAGGGTGGGCAGAGGGACTCCTCTAGACCCGAGTATAGCAAGCATCTCGTCAGGGAACTCTTAACTGGTTTTCCCGACAGAGTTAGGGGTGATAACCTCAAAATAAAGTAATAATTATGTGACTATTTTAACCGTTTCTGGAAAAATCACCATTGCCTGGTATGGAGGAGCTATGGGGAAACTGTAGCTCTTGGGCCTCATGACACAGCTATTTTGAGATGAGGGGTAGGTGCTGGCAGCCCAAACCAGGCCTGTGACCCGTGGGTTTGGCCCCTCATTCTCCAATCACATAACCCTGCTTCACCCAGATAACAACTTCTGGGATAAGGCACAATTTCTCTGAGCCATTTCCTCACTGGAAGGCATCTTGTAATCCACTTTGGAAAAAAGAGAAAAAGAAAACCCAGCCAAACAAACAAAAACAATGTGCTGTCATGTCAGTAGCGTCGTTGTAGTGTGAAGCATAAATATTTCATGTGGTTACAATTTCCTGTGTGGAGCTTGTCAGTAACACACAGATGACTTAGAAAGTTTATTCGACTCTTGCTTCTCTTAATACACTGGAGAAAGCAACATTACTGGATCACTGGGATCCACACACACAGTCCCAGATAACAAGAGTGCTAGGCTATTGGGTTATTGCTGCTGAAGTGGACGCTCCCACCTGCTCTTCCCACCACCAGCCCATATCACTGCATCAGGATCTCAGGGTTCCTTTGGCCACATCCATGTGCTGATGCTGGCCTCTCTCTCAGCTCCAAGGATGCTTAGAGGTACCCAGACGAAGTCTGAATACCCTACCCACACATATCAGGGGGTGGCCAAGTGGGCACCGTCCCATGGGCCTAGAGAGTGGAAGGAGAATGCATGGATAGTGGAAGGTACAAGAAGGTTGATTTCAGGGCGAGGAAGTCCATGATACCTACTATAGAGGAAACTGTTGTTGCCCCGCCCAGACCCCTTTATGGGCTGGCTCCCGAGTGTTGACTATTCACTGGTCACAGCGGCCCCCACACCCCAGAGTTGCCCTCATAACCAAATAATGGAGCAGCCAACTCTGTGGTACCACTCGCGCTCCAGAGCTCCGTGGGATCACAAAGCAGCGGGTCCCTATCTTTGCTTAGCTCCTTCTCCACCCTGCCCTGCTTCCCTCACTCCCTACTCAGAGCACCTGCCTGGTAAATTTCTTAACCCAGAAACCCCATCTCAGGCTCTTATTTCTCAGACAATGGACCCACGATCCTAGCTGAGCAGAGTGGGGCCACACCAGTAACGCTCCATATTCTTTCCCTGGCTCTGGCCCTGCCTTCAAATATAAGACTCTCAGCCCTTGAAACCAACCCAAGCCTTATGCAGGGGAGATCTAGGTGCTCACATGTTCACAAAGAAATCCTCTCAGAACTTCGCTGGCAGTCCAGTGGTTAAAACTCCACACTCTCAATCCCAGGGGCCCAGGTTTGATCCATGGTTGGGGGAACTAGATCCCACATGCCACAACTAAAGCTCCCATATGCTGCAATGAAGATCAAAGGTCCTGCGTGCTTCAACTAAGACCCGGAGCAGCCAAATAAATATTTTTTTAAAAGAAATTTTCTCCCCCAAGGAAGTCCTCTCTCCAGGAAGCAGTGTCTGCTACCTCTTCTTATTCTGTCCAGAGATGATGCTGGCTCGGCCCATGGAGCCCCAGGAAGCCCGATGCCACACCCACTGTAAAAGCACTGAGGCTTCTTCACAGATGCCCTCACCCTGTCCCTGTGCCCCCAAAGCTGCCACCCTAGGCTCAGAATAGACCAGCTACCGCTGCAGCCATGGCGCCCCCGATCTACCAAGGCCAGTCTGTGGCCTGGACCCTCCAGTCCTCGAGGTCACATGTTATTGTTGCTTGGTCCCTAGTGCAGGGCCCCTGACCTGGTGAAGACGCTCAGCGCCTGTCTGCAGCCCGCCCTCCCCCACCTGTATCCCCTGTCCGTGGAGCTGACCCAGGAACCAAAACTGCTTGCCCTTCCAAGTGCCAAATGCTTGATTCAGCTGCCTGCATCTTCCAGCTCCCCCATAAAACCCTGGAATCCTAGCAGGGGCCACAGCAGGGGCAAAGGCCAAGCCTCTCATCCTGAAAGGAAGGCGTTGCTGGTCCTGAGATTGCCCCGCGGTAATCCCTCCCTCTAGGGCTACATCTGAATTTCCACGTTAGACAGAATGTGGGCAACATGGCCTGGATGGGCTTTCCCGTGAATTTTCAGAGTCCAGGATGCTAAAATTCAATTTATTCATTCAGCAGGAATACAAACAAGTGCGCAGTTTACTCTTTGCTAGGCCCTCAGCTGAGCACCCGGGAGACCAAGTGGAATCGGACACAGAGTCTGCCTGTCTAGGAGCTTACAGCGAGTAGGGGAGGCAGAGAATGAAACCAATAATATTAAATTAACCCTCAATTTATAATTTCATATCATAAATAATTTAAAAAATACATGCATTTAAAACTACTATGTGGCCAGTGCAAAAAGAGGGAGCTGGGAGAAGGCAGAAGCGGGGCCCCCAGTCCAGCTGGGAGTCTGCCAAGGCTTCCTGGGTAGCTGACACCCGGACTGTGCCCTGCCTGGTGACCAGGACGAGCTGGAGGACTGGTCTGTGCCTGAAGAGTGCTGTATTTTCCTGATCCTGACCTCAGAGGCTGACTCTGTGGTTGTGATTCTGCAAAGGTGAAGGGGGGCGGGGAGCGATGAATTCAGAGTATGGGATTAACCGATACACACTCTGTGTATGAAACATATGCAGCAAGGATTTACTGTATAGCACAGGGAACTATATTCAATATCTTGTAATAACCTGTAATGGAAAAGAATAGAAAGAAAAGAATATAGATGTATACCCATGCATAGCACACGGGCACACACACCACTCACATCACATACCACGTGCCTGCCAGGCCCATGCATACACCCCAGTACATCCTGGCGAGTACATAATACGAGAAATTTTACCTTCCTGCGTAGAGCTTAAATAACAACAATAATGATAACTTCAAAGAACTTTCCATGTATTAGCTCATTATTATTCACAACAGCTCTTTGAAGAGGAGACTATTACTCCAAGTCTCATATGAGAAAATGAGGTAGGAGCTTTGCTCAAGATCATCGGACTCGTAGGATGCAGAGCCAATATTCTCCCAGGCAAGCTGTGCCTGATCTGTCCGTCATCACCACGCACGGCAGCCCTTCATCTCTCTGGCCTGAGTTTCACCCCACATTTAGGGCTTACCTGGGCCTCCAGCCTCCCTTCTCTCCAAAGGAAGGGTGTTCCTGCTGCCAGAAGGCATCCCCACCCCCACCCACCCACCTCTGTCCATCCGACCTTGTCCGTGCTTGACCTTCGGGCAGGAGAGCTAGACCCTGCAGTGGAGGAAGACTGCCCTCCAGAGGTTACTATTAAATACAAAACGGGTTAATTAGCACTCGCTCTGGAAGATCCCCTGGAGGAAGAAATGGCAACCCACAACAGTATTCTTGCCTGGGAAATCCCCTGGACAGAGAGGGCAATAGTCCATGGGGTCACAAAGAGTCAGACCCACTGAGCGACTTCACTTTCCTTCTTTCCTTTCACCCGTACTTATAAGATATCAATTGGTAGGGCCCCTTAGAAAGTAAAAGTGAAAGTGGCTCCATCGTGCCCGACTCTTTGTGACCCCATGGACTAGTCCATGGAGTTCTCCAGGCCAGAATACTGGAGAAGGTAGTCTTTCTCCAGGGGATCTTCCCAACCCAGGGATTGAACCCAGGTCTCCCACATTGCAGGCGGATTGTTCACCACCTGAGCCACAAAGGAAGCCCAAGAATAAGTCCTCTTAGAAGGGCCCCAAAATAGCTGTTCCATTCAAGAATAGCAGATGGTGGTATGTTAGGTTGGGAGAAAGCAGTGGTGAAAGAGCTCTTGAGGAAGTGATCCTGGCGGCCCTCACGGCTCCAGTCATCCCCTCCCACGGGATGCAACTGTGGACGGTGTCAGGATACTGGCTCCAGGAGATGTCCGTTCACTCATTTCATCAGGAGCTCCACGTATGAGTGTGTTGGGTATGGTGATGTTTGGCCCCGAATCAACTTCTCTAACACATACGCCTCAGAGGTAGCACTGGTCACCCACTCTGGGCCATTGGAGCTGTTCCCTCCAGCCAACATATTTTATACAAATAATGACTAAGAGGGCTTCCCTAGTAGCTCAGTAGGTAAAGAATCTGCCTGAGGTGCAAGAGACCCAGGTTTGATCCCTTGGTCGGGAAGATCCCCTGGAGAAGGAAATGGCAACCCACTCCGGTATCCTTGCCTGGAAAATCCCACGGACAGAGGAGCCTGGTGGGCTACAGTCCATGGGGTCGCAAAGAGTCAGGCACGCCTGATCGACTAACATGTCTTAATGAATAAGAAGGATAGTCGGAGATGGTGACAAATGCTCCAAAGACCACATAATAGGGTGACACGAGAGGAATGGGTGCGGGGAGCTGTGGCCACTTCAGACAGGGAATGGAGGTGGCCAAGCAGAGCCCTGAGAAGGTAGAGGAAGCAGCAGTGACCATATCTTAGAGGACAGATTTCCTGAGAAAAGGAAAGT